ATCTATGAAGCCAAATGAATCAGGTCAGCTGGTCAAACTTCAAGCATGTCTTAAAGACATAAAGGCCTGGATGACCTGCACCTTCTTACTTCTAAACTCTGACAAAAGTGAAGTTATTGTGCTTGGGCCTGAAAACCTTAGAAATCTGCTGTCTAATCATATAGTTACTTTAGATGACATAGCTCTTGCCTCCAGTACTACTGTGAGGAACCTTGGAGTCATCTTTGATCAGAATATGTCCTTTAAATCACACATAAACCAAGTCTCTAGATCTGCCTTCTTTCACCTGTGCAATATTGCAAAAATCAGGAGCATCCTGTCTCAAAGTGATGCTGAAAAACTGGTCCATGCATTTGTTACTTCCAGGCTGGACTACTGTAACTCTTTACTATCAGGATGTCCCAATAATTCCCTAAAAAGCCTCCAGTTAATCCAAAATGCTGCAGTCAGAGTACTGACAGGAACTAGTAAGAGAGATCATATCTCTCCCATGTTAGCTTCTCTCCACTGGCTCCCTGTAAAATTCCGAATAGAATTTAAAATCCTTCTCCTAACATACAAAGCCCTTAATGACAAGGCTCCATTGTATCTTAAAGACCTCGTAGAGCCTTATCATCCTAACAGAGCACTTCGCTCTCAGAGTGCAGGTTTACTTGTGGTTCCTAGAGTCCACAGAAGCAGAATGGGAGGCAGAGCCTTTAGCTATCAAGCTCCTCTCCTATGGAACCAACTCCCAGTCTCAGTTCAGGAGGCGGACACCCTCTCTACCTTTAAGATTAGACTTAAGATGTTCCTTTTTGATAAAGCATATAGTTAGGGCTGGATCAGGTGACCCTGAGCCCTCCCATAGTTATGCTGCTATAGGCCTAGGCTGCTGGGGGGCCCCATGATGCTCTGAGTTTCTTTCCCCTCCCCTCCTGCTCTGCTCTGCTCTGCTCTGCTCTCCTCTCCTCCCCACCCCACCCCTCTCCTCTCCTCTCCTCTCTCTCCCTATGCTTCTATATGCCACCATTACACATTACTAACTTTGTGTCTCCTCTCCCCCATAGTGTGTCCTCTCTCTCTCCCTGTACCTTTCTGCAGGTTGCCCTGGCCCTGGAGCTCTACATCTCTGACGAGCAGTCACCAGCCACATCAACCTAATCAGTGTTTGATTGTTGTGTCTTGTTGCTTTTCTTATTTTGTCTCTCCTCTATCCACTCACCCCAACCGGTCGAGGCAGAAGGCCGCCCACCAAGAGCCGGGGTCTGTCGGAGGTTTCTTCCGTTAAAGGGAGTTTTTCCTCCCCACTGTCGCCGAGTGCTTGCTTAAGGGGGATTTGTTGGGTTTTCCCTATGTAATTATATTGATAACAGTAAGGTCTAGACCTTAGTTTGTAAAGTGTCCTGAGATGACTTTTGTTGTGATTTGGCGCTATACAAATAAAATTTGATTGATTGATTAAATGTAAATGTCCTTAGTGAAATGATCTGGCTACGTATCACTTAGGTGGTGGTACAGCAAAAAAGACGAGATAACCAGATAACCAGTGCATCAGACCTCTATAACACAAGTCTCATATGGAGTTTAAAAATTTATTTCTTGAAAACAAACAGGCCACATCATCACAGGGAATAACCTGTGGCCGGTTGGCTGTATCATAATAAATGGGATCATGCAGCCGCCTTCTCAGTCGACAGCGCTCTAATGTGCATCGGCTTTGACTTCAGCGGCGTCACAGCCCCAACACTCTCTTTTCCTGCTGTAGTAATAAAATGTGTTGTTTCGATGCTGGAGCTTCTTCACAGAGCCGGTCTCTGGCGATTTGTCAATCTGAGACACAAGCACAGAAAGCGACAGACATGATCAATGTGCGATTACTGTAATCACAAAGTTTGGAAATTGGAAAGATTCAGGACTATTTCAAAACATTAGATTTACAAAAACTTACTGCAATTGTATATTTTAATACTAGGATGTTTCAGAAGCCCTTTTAGTTCTGTTAAGAGCGTCTTCAGTGCGTCCTTAACAAAAATAATGTCTTCTAGTGCACATCTCTCCTATGTCACAAAATTACTAACACAAAAACCTATGAAACACGTTGTTTAAAACTATTTCTTCCAGTACTGCGTATACACGTACACCAGTACCAGCCTGCCTTTATTCCAGTCTATCTTTGTAGCTCGCCACTTGGAATGCCAGCAGGTTTTCTACCTCTACAGTCCATCTTGGACTTTGGAAGGAGCTGTTATCAGTAGTACTGCACACTGTCAACAGCCTGACCTCTGGTGCTCTGACATGACAAGAGTAGGCTTTAATCCAAGCCACTGCAGGTCTTGTGTATCCACACACTGCTTCTAATATCACTGAGTTTCAAAAAAGCCAAACCTTCTTCCTTTTGCTGTCACAACACAAACCTGGACTGTTTAGAACACAGTTCAAATTGGAATAAATATTTTTTTTAACATCCATCCATTCATTATCTATGCCGCTTATTCCCAAATAGGGTCACGGGGATCTGGAGCCAATCCCAGCTGACGGTGGGCGAGAGGTGGGGGCCACCCTGGACAGGTCGCCATTATTGAAACAACACATTGGAAGTTTATGTTGGGCAAATCCGACATATAAAGGATTAACCGGGGAGCATTTTACCTAAACCAATTTTCCATCTTTGTTTAGGTTAAACTGCAGTTGACATATTTTGTCAGAAAAGTTGTAAAAAGTGATATAAACCTTTTCTATCTATGCCAAGCTGAAATACTCACACTAAAAGAGTAAAACACTGACAATCAAAATCTTGTATGTGTCCATGTTTATTTATTTGATGCGATACTTTAAAACATGACATTACTGATGGGAATGCTGTGGAGGCACTTGATCACATTTATAAAAGGGGCACTTTATCACTTTTGCTGTATTGTGGGGCACCTTAGAGGTCATTTTTATCACCTTTGCCCTATTGTGAAAACATCTCTTGAGGCATGCTTTTATAGTTTTGGTTTGGCCCCCTCACCAATTCCGCCTATTTGGAGGCCAGGTATAAGCAGCTTCCAGACCGTCATGGTGACCGATATCTTTTACTCCGAATGAGAATGGATTATTGCTAAAAGATGATATTTTACTGTGGTGTGTGGGAGGGGTGTTAGCTGACCCACATAATACAAATGAAATATAGAGTAGATGAGCAATAACACAAATCTAAACAGGCAGTAACACAAAGGTGGATAACTTTGTACAAATCACTAATCACCAGATTAATCAATAATGAAGACGACTGTTAGTTGAAACTTATGGGATGGGCCTTGTAGCCTGGACATTCACTTGGTAACATTTCTTTAACATGAATAAGATGAAGACTGGTTTGGGAAAATACCAGATGATTAAAACAATGCAAGCTCATCTCAGCGGTCACACTGCAGCTGTAACGTGGTGTTTGTCTCCCTGCAGAGGTGCCCTGGCTTCTTACTTTTGTGGCATTCACATCATGGGCTTAAATTAAACACAGCCAGTGTGGATTTGGAAAGCTTTGAATTCATTTGGAAATAACTGCACTTCTTTTTGTCAGCTACTCACAAAAGTTCACTTCATTAAAACCTTAATAATGCTATTTGTCAAACATTTCCGAAGTAAGCAATTAATTGATCGTTTTACATGTATTAATTAAAAGATTTAGAAAAAAGACAGGTTTAATACATTTCCAATGTTCAAATTGTTTTTTCTTTGGAGGTTCCTTGTATTCTTTCTCTGATAGCTCCTCACTTTTAATTGAATTTAATTTTATTAAGTTGAAATTGCCCCTCTCTGGAAAGCCGAATTCTGCTCACAAAACAAGTGGCGCTGAACCTTTAGGATTCGGTTCCTGCATCATTGGTTGGTGCATACACAGTGCTTGTGCGCTGTCATAATACTGGGGGCGTCTAGCAGCGTAATTGGCTGCGTAAAAATGAACTGAGTGAAGCAAATGTTTTTTAATGGGAAGAAACCGGAGTACCCGGAGTAAACCCGTAACACCAAAAGGAGGAGAATAGACACACACACCCAAATCTGCTCAGCTATTAATCAGTTAATTTTGAATGAGGATTTAAATGTTTTCAGATAGGGGCCCTAATGGGCTAGTCCAGGATTCAGCGCCCTCGCTGCTGCGGCCCGGCTATGATTCAGGGTTGCGTCAGGAAGGACATCCAGCGAAATACACATGCCAAACTTCACCATGCGTCATTGTGACGATTTGCTGTGGCGACCCCTAACGGGAACAGCCGAAAGTGGATTATTATAATTATTATCATTAAACGTTTTTTTTAATGGGAAGAAACCGGAGTGCCCGCAGTATTTTTCTTACTTTCGGGAGACCTTGCAGATGGATTTGCGCACATCGGAAAAGAACCTGCAGACCTTGTTGCCTTTCTTTGGTGGGTTAATTATGTGCTTTTTGATATTGGAGGCCACATAATCTTCACCTGATGTTCCCTTCAGTAACAACTCAAACTGTGTGTTTGCATTGCTGAATTTTTTGCAGAGGTCCTTGTACACATTTTTCTCCAGGTGTTGGAATGTTTCTGCATTAAAGTCAAAACGTTCGCCCTCCAGGAGAGTCCATGTTTTGTAGAACAGTCGCTCGGTGCAGGTATGTAGTTGATCCTCAGTGACCTTGACACCAGGTTTTTCCTCAATCCTTGAAATCAGCTTATTAACAGCTGTATACACGCATTCTTTTATTCGTGTCATTTCCTCATCGGAAAAGTCTGTTGACTCCTCATTTACCGAGGAAGAGTGATCAGCCCGAGCTGCTGCTTCTGTGCGCATCCTCCCTAGCCGCACCACGCATCTGGACCTGTCTGCTGACTCCTCACGTATCCGAACTATTTCTTCTATGCGCCTCCTCATTAGCCGCACCAGACTTTCTGCCCTCGAGCTGTACCAGTTTTGTAACACTGTGTAGAAAGACCGCGCTCTGCTAGCTGCTTCTTCAAACAAGACACTGGGTGACAGTGACGGATTGACTGGCTGTGACATGCTTAACCTTTGTTTTTTTACATCCCCAGCGAAGCCAAACGGTATATAAATGAGATGCTTTAAGATTATCGAGGAATCGTAATCAAAAGGTTCATCCCAGGAAGATGGGGGACCGTCATGTACTAGTTGATGAAACAACATGTTAGTCATATTTTCTTTAGATTGCAGTACCGTTTTGTCTGTGCAGTCGCCAAATAAATCTTTTCGTAGATTTGCCATGGTTTCATAAAATGTTACCTTGGCATATATCAGGACAAGCTCTCTGCAAAGTCTTGGATTGTCGTAGAGGAGATACATGCAGAAGTAATTATGGAAAGGAAGACGTATCTCTTCTATAATGTCTGATGTAAGCGCTACATAAATAAGGCCACTTGAGGATATGGTAATTACCAGCTCGTGCTGAAGGTTCAGCTCAGCTGCTGTCTCCTCCTCAATTTGTTGGGCTTGAGCCCTGTCGGGGTCTCCAGAGCTGCATTGGGTCACTGGCACTGGAAGAATCAGTTCATCGTCCTCATTTAAGCTCTAGATTTCCCAGACTTCGTCTCCCCCAGATGGGTCCTCTTCTAACGTTTCCGGGCTTCCAGAGCAGCTAGATGATGATGTGGTCTGTGTTTCATCTTCCTCCGAATCTGAACCCACGCTGACCACCTTTAGAGGGGTGTGCAGATTCCCGAACTTAGCGGGCTGTGGACAGCATGTGGACACCAGTGACGTGCGGTGAGGTTGACCTGGTGAGGCACTCACTCTTTTACAGTCAGATTTACAAATACAAATTGTCTGTTAACA